AGTATGATAAATCAATCCTTTTATTTATGTTTTGAAACAAATTGGAGATGAGAACAAGAAATAGGAAATTGTTCCCAAAATTTCTATAAATTTTGAACAGAAAAACATAGTTAGTTACAAAATGATTAGATTTCTTAAGAAAATTAGAAACGAGAAAACAACATACGAGAGAGTTACGAAACGGGCCCTAATTAAATTACTTTAAAATCTATTTCTAAAGAAATATTTGAGAATGGTGTTTTGAGAAGTGATTTTTAAAGTAATTGACAATATGAAACAGGAAATACTGTGCAGATATAAAACAAGCCAAATGATTTGATGACATAAAGTTATTAAATATTTCTGACAAAGTCATTGACCAGCTCTGGGGGGAATATATGTGGGGATGAGCCCATTAATTGAGTGCAGCTAGTTTTTCAAAGCTGCTGAACTCTTGATGGCCACATTGATTTTGTGTATTCAAACTACTCTCAGCAACTTCAACCAAATGATGGAGAAGTTGTGTGGGTTTTGAGAGCATCACCATATGGCCACCTCCATTGATGCATTTCACAGCTTTTGGTGGAAACTCTTGTATCATCAGCCTCTGGAATTTGCTCTCCATAACTTCATCTCCTTCGCACACCACAAAAACCCGATCCACCGACCCGAATTTTGCCTCCGTTAGAAGGGATTCCTTGGTCAAGTCCTCAAAAAACATGTTGAATGGCCTCACCATCAATTTGGCCAACTCCAAATCCTAACACATCAGAAAGAATTAAACACTAGAAATTAAGATGTGGCCATTGCTATACACACACTCGCGATCATTATCCACTTTGTTTCGTAGTTATTTCACGTGTTTACTCCATCTTTATTCTATAAACATCAAAATCAGAGGTGGTACCAACTTACAATGATATGGTTCAATTAAAGTTTAAAAAGAATGAATTTTTCACGATTAATCTCTAAAATGATCAAGTTCTTTAAACTCTCCCAAATTCAAAATAAAAATTATATAAAAGAAAAACTATTCAACCTAAAAAATTTTATAATTTTCAGAGAAGAAAAAAATGGGTTCAATAATTTATAGAAAAAATATGGCAACGTATATCTTTTTTTTTTCTCTTTTTTAAAAATTAACAAATTGATCACATAGGTGAATGAAGCCGTGAAGTTGTCCAAAGGATGTTGGAAGCTTGACCCATTGCCAAACATATAATTTTAAAACTTTTAAGTAAATTTTGTTAGTAATAATACTAAATATCTCAAAGTTGAGAAGGCTCGAGCTTCTTATAGATCCGCCCTCGCCAACTTAATATAATTAAATACGTTAAGAAAGTAGATTTTCGTCCTAAGTTCATCCTTAAATTGATTAGATTCCAAAATTGTTCCAATTTTAAGGCAGAGCGTACAATTTTTGGGGGAGAAAAAAAGTCACAGCTTCAATTAGCAATTGAGTTGGGAAATTAAATTTAGTAAACTCACCTCCATGGAGCAGTCCTTGTACAACTTTTCACTCAAAAAGTTGGGGCCATACACAACAGAATTTGGAATTTCTGGGTTATCTCCGAATATGAACTGGCAATCCAACACAGTCTCCACAGAAAGGCTCTTGAAAAACTGTACACACCAATCAGAAACAACAACCCATAACCATAATTAAGTAAACCCAAAGCTCAAAAATGACAGAAATTAAGAAAAAAGTAAGCTTTTTTAGAGCTGTATTACTTTGAGTACGAGGGTGGCTGGAGGAGAGATGAAGTGGGGCATATAAGCTGTGACAAAAACAGCGACAAGAATTTGATTGGGGAATCTCTCCATGGCCAGAGAGATTATGAGGCCGCCAAAGCTATGGCCGACAAGAACCACTTTGTCCTGTGGAGGGAGAGCTTTGAAGAAGTCCATCAATGGTTGAGAGTGGCGGTGGATGGAGGTGACGTCCTCCAGCTTTGTGGGGTCGGCGCCGGCGGCGGCCAGGTCCAGCGCCGTGGCGCGGTGGCCGGCGGAGCGGAGGAGGTGGAGGAGCTTGAACCAGCACCAGCCGCCCTGGCCGGCCCCATGAACCAGAACAAAGTGAAAGTTGTGATTTTTATTAGTTGCTTTCTCCATATGGCCCTCTGTTTTTGGGCTGTTTCCTTATTTTAGGTAAGTCAACAGCTGTGTGTGTGTGTGTATTATATAAGGCCAAGGCCTCTTTCTTTTTGGGCGGCTATGGGTATGATTGAGCATTTTCGTGTGTGGGGGAAATTTCTAAAAACGTAATGTGAAAAGTTTTGCAGATTTAATAATGACTTTGACAATGAAGTCCATATAAGAAAATAATAGTGATTGAATAGGGCAAATCGTTCCTACTTTATTAGATCATTTTTAATTTGCTTCTTGTCGTTTTGGAATTCTCAATAACTTAGTGTATATTTGAGCATTGTATCTACTATTTCTTTCCTTAACATGGAAAATTCAAATCACTATATCTACGGCTTTTTCTTTGAGATTGGAGGTTCAACGTGGAAAAACACAATCAAAATAAATACCATTCAGTTAACTAGATTGGTATACTAGGCTATTTCAATTGGGATGATTAAAACTTAAGCCCATAAATTCCCTTTATAGTAGATGGAACACATCTCCTCCTTGTAGGACAACTTCTACTATTTGGTGAGCACACTCTCCACTTGTATCTCTAGGATAAATTTCAATTCCAATATTTTGCCAATCCCAACAACACATACCCAACCTCCAATTTGAGCAGATAAAAAATGCTCAAATTTTTGTAGGAAAACAAAACTCGAACCCAAATAATGAAAAGTATTCAATACAATTAAAAGAACTAATACATGTCGTTGAATGATAAATTTCAGCCAAAGTTAATGACAAAATTATATTTGAGACCAATTATAAATTGACATGAGTTCATGTTAAATTAAAAGACATGAAAATTGGCCAATTAAATAAATTTGATTGTCTTTTATAGGCATAAAATCCATGTAAGGCTCGTGGAATATCCTATAAATAGACGTGTCAATCATTTGTAGGAACATTTCATGAAGGTAAAGAAGCAAGAGAATTTAACGAAAATTTCAAGCAAATTGAAGACCATCAAGATCTACAATAGTAGGTAATGATAAGGGATGCTCATATTTAGTCACAAATTTTAAAAAATTAAAAAATAAAAATCTAACTAATTTAGAATATAATTGTACATCTTATTTATAATGTTTAAATTGCACCATTTATCTAGAGTTTAAATTGATGAAATTAAAGTTTTAAGAGAAAATTAACTCGTACATCGTAAAACTGAACTTTTCCTGACAAAATAATATAGGTTAATTAAAATATTATTTTGTCCTTTGCTTTATGACACTTATTCCATTTTAGTCTACGTTCTTTAAATTTAATCTATATTTCCAATAAATCTTTAAAATTGTTCCAACATCAATTTGAAGGTAGGAATAATAATAATAATAATAATAATAATAATAATAAATAGTAATAATAACCTGAATTCGATGAAAGGTAATTTCGGTTTTGGTATATTGAAATTATTATTTACCGACTCAAGTTTAGTTATTTAAAAAAGAAAATAAATAATTTCTCAAAAAAAAAATAAATAAATACATAAAGGTAGCTTGAGACATTTTTTGAAGAATAAAATTGGGAATTGAAAACATAGGCACGTGTAAAATCGGGAAATATCTCGTTGTTTGTGCCTCCTTGTGTTTCTCTCGTTATTTCGGCAAGTTTTTATTTATTAATATATTATTGAAAATGTGATTTCGGCAACTTCAAACTTGGAATCGTGGTCAAAATATATTCTCAATTTAGGCTAGTAAAAAAAAAAAGAGTTAATTTCACGAATTATAACTAAAAATAGTTAATCTGTGAGATTACAAAGTCACGGAGATGAAAAATCATTTTAAGATTTTCTTTAAAAAAAAGGTTCAAACCTGAACTTCAATTTCTGTCGATAGTCAATATAACCTCATCTTCAGGAAATTTTAGCATATCATAAGTCGTGATACGATTGATTGCTGTATGAATATCCTAAATCACGGAAGGGATATGGAGCTTTTCAATGATACGATGCTGGTGCCAAGAATCCTCTTTGAATTTCCGACTTCAGAACAATTTCTTTATGTAATGTGTGTTACAAAATTATCTCAAAGGTGTCGGTGAACAGGCTTAAAAGTGTTTTGGATGGAATTATCTCCCAAAGCCAAAGTGCCTTCATTCCCAAAAGGTACATTATAGATAACGCTATGTTGGACTTTGAATGTATTCACTCTTTGCGAAACAGGAAAGCTGGAAATTCTGCTTGGGCTGCGCTAAAACTTGATATGAGTAAAGCGTACGATCGGGTGGAATGAAATTTTTTGGAGGCATTAATGTTAAAATTGAGTTTTGATAAAGCCTAGGTGGATTTAATTCTGAGTTGTGTCCGCTCGATCAGACCCGAGATGGGTCTCAGACAAGGCGATCCTCTTTCACCGTATCTATTTATTATGTGTGCTGAAGGGTTGTCTAGCCTCATTCAGAAGGCTGAATATGACAAATGTGTGTCAGGACTTTCTGTTGCACGACGTTGCCTGCCTATTACGCACTTGTTCTTTGCTGATGACAGCCTCCTCTTTTTCAAAGTTAGAGTGGTTGAAGGCAAAGCGATCAAAGATTGTTTAAGGAGGTATGAGTTAGCTTTTGGACAACTAGTGAACTACGACAAGTCAGTTATTGCATTTAGCCCAAATACAAAGGCGAAGGTTAGGAGGCAGTTTCAGAATATCCTCTCAGTTAAGCTGGTGGAATGCCACCATCAATACCTCGACTTGCCTACCTTTATTCCTAGAAATAGAAGACTGCACTTTAGTTTCATCAAAGACCGTGTATGGAAATATCTACAAGGTTGGAAAGGTAAGCTTTTTTCTATTAGGGGAAAGGAGGTGCTTATTAAAGCAGTTGTTCAGGCAATCCCGTCTTATACTATGTCATGTTTTTAGACTCCAAAAAAGGCTTATAAATGATCTTCACCGGCTAGTAGCTCGATTTTGGAGCCGAGACTTACTAAAGGAAGGTTCTAGATGGCGGATTGGGATGAGTGATAGGGTGTGAGTTTATGCTGATAACTGGGTCCTAAACCAGACCATTTTAAAAGTCCTCTCCTCGCCAATTCTCCCAGTGGATACGAAGGTTGAGACTCTAATTAACAAAGAACTAGCTCAATGGAAGGAAGATGTGATTATTGGTGCTTTTACACCAGATGAAGCTAATAGTATTTTATCCATCCTTATTGGTCGTGGATCTGAGGAGGACATGCTAATTTGGCACCATGAGAAAACAGGAGTTTATACTGTAAAAAGCGGTTACAAGGTTGCTCTGAATAAGCAACCCAGTTCCAAAGGTTCGTCTTCTTCAGGGGAGTTGGAAAGGTGGTGGAAAGGCATGTGGCAAATGAGGATCCCCTCTAAAATCAAGGTTTTCTTATGGCGGCTTTGTTTGGACAGACTCCCTACTGAAGCAAATCTTTCGAAAAGAGGTGTGGACGTTCAGAATACTTGCGTTTTTTGCGGTAGGAAAGGGGAAGACAACATTCATCTCTTCTGGAGGTGTAAATTTGTCAAAGATGAGTTGAGTTTTTCGAAATTTAGTCATCTCCCTTATTCAGTTCTATCATTCTCCTTTTCTTATCATTCGAGAGTGGCAAGCAAGCCTAAGCTGATCGGAATTTGAGGAATTGACCGTGTTCTTGTGGGGTTGGTGGAATCGGCAGAATGAAAGGGCTTTCAAGCCGGAAAATAGGGAACCGGATCGATACCTGACTAGGCTCCTTCCTTTATTTCGACTTGGAGACAAATGCTTGTATGATGAACAATACCTAGCAACCAAGAGAAATCAGATGGCAACCCCTTTTGATAACTCAGATGCTTCTTTTTCTTCCGCTAATCTAAGTGCAGGGCTGGGAATAATTATTCGAAATTTTAAAGGACAGGTGATGGCAAGTGCTACGATGTACCTCGATCATGTGCAATCGATCGACGAAGCTGAAGCTTTTGCGGTGACAGAGGGCTTGAGGCTTGCAGCAGAAATCGACATTCGCATGGTATGTCTGGAAACTGATTCTATTTGAATCTTCAAAATCCTCTCCTCTGATTTGGAGGATCTTCCGAAAACAGGGGAAATAGTGAGGAATGCAAAGAGACACCGGTCTTCGATGGTGCATGCATCTTTTAATCACACTAGAAGAGGAGGGAATGAAGCTTTTTTGAGGGAGGATTTTCTGGCGGATTTGGCTTTGCAAGTGGGTCGGGAGTGTGTGGTTTGATGTTGTTTTAGTTTTTCTTTCTTCTGCTTGTGATGCTATTATCAAAAAAGAAAAAAACTGTTCTGTTAGGAAGAATGAAATGTGAATAATTGTGACGAAGTCTCCATATCTTCAATTAGATTATTTAAATTGATAATATTTTCAAACATGTAAGTATGATAATGTCATTTAGATTAATTAATGTTCGCTACATTTATATTATAATAAATTCGTTTTATATAGAATAAATTAATAGCTAAAAGTCAACTATTATTGTTTATGAGAACTGCTTAATCATTCAAATTGTAAATACGCTTTTTAAAAATGATTAGCACAGATTATTAAGACAACAGTTATCATTTTTCTTTTTTTTTTTATATTATTTATCAATTTAATTTTGACTATGCAACCTATTATTATAATATTCAACTCCAATGTTTGGTTTCTTTTCTATAGTTTCATGAGTTCGAATATATCAACCATTTTGATGATTAAAGTCCTTTTTATCATAATTTTTGCATTTAAAAGTATCTGCAACTGAAACATGAAGCTGGAAGAGCCTGTTTCAGCCCTGATATTCAAAATGAATTTTCCTTTTTTCTTTTTGAGGATCAAATGAAAAGGTCAATGAGAAACTCTTCCAGTATTAAATTGGGTTTAATAARATGTCAACCTGAGTATACCTCAATTGGTTAAAACATACATTATTGACCAAAAAATCGGAGGTTCAAATCTACACCCACATATTGAACTAAAAAAAATCGGATTTATAAAACTAAGTAGACAATAACAAGATGATGCTGGACCTATTCTTTAAGATGGAAAAGTATAAAAGCACGGTGCAGATAATAGGGGAGTTTTGTTAAAATTGTTGGCTCTGCTCTCTACTTACAATTTGAACCCTGATCACTACATAATCTTATCGCTATCACTAACCATATGAATATCAAATAGGTATATACATTGATCATAAGGTATCAATATTCACAATAGGACAAAGTAAAATAGAAAGGGAGGGTGAAGAAGACAGTATTCACATGGATAGGGAATGTGCATGCATGAAGAATTGATTCCCTTCTGTTAGGAAAATCAGATCTTTTCAATTTTTTTTTTTTTTACTCTAAATATTCCATAGATAGCATATAAAAGAAGGAAACCTTTTTATGATTATAGACAAGATGTGGTAGATTCTTTGTGTAGCTCCAGAACTCCGATAATCAGCTCAGCATAGTGGGGTGTCCAGTCTGCAGCATCCTCTTGATCATGTCCATTCCAAATGCAGAATCTGATGAACTGATCATAGGCAACATACCATTAAATATGCACTCTATAATCCATGAGCCTTGGGGCGTTCTTAATCAAAATATAAATGACAATGAATTGAGATGCAAAGATGAAAGCACACAAGAAAGATAGTCTCATTCTTTAGCAACCAAAACCAAAAAAGACCTAGGAGGTCTAGGGAGTACCGAAAATTCTGTTGAAAAGTAACAAAATTGCTAAATCTACCTGTAATCACTCACATTCTTGACAACAAAAAGTGTGCATGTGAGATCTAATAATAAGCCTGTCAATAATGAAGTGGTACGAACAAAAGGGAACCATCAACTCCCCTCAGAAAAAAAAAAAAATTATATTCATTGCTTTTCTATCAATCCAAATTTATTGAGATGGGTTCATAAATAATAGAGCAGTCACGTCAGTAGGAAACAAATTTCTTTCGACAAGTTATCTTTAAAAAGACGAAGCAAGCAAGCAAGCAGAATGTCTTTTACGTAAGCAAACACTTCACTTTCTGAGCATACATATTATTTTCCACTTCATCTTATTACTATCTTTTCCATGAAATAAATTTGAAGCCAACCCACCTAGTTCGAAGATCAAGGAAGAATGGTTCACAGTCTAAAGAGATAACAAGGTTCACTGCTCTAGCAATATAATAGGAAATATTTGGAGTGCATATATGATATGATATAAGTTACCGAAGCTGAGGGAAAATCATGAGAAAAGCCAAGTCATTCATTGATTTCATTGGTTATACTCACCTCGGAATTGTTATTTCATAGGGGAATAAAACAACACATTCTGGAGATGGTATAGGAGGAACGTGGTCCTTCTTTTCATTCACAAATTTTATTACTTGAAACAACACCTCACGAAGAGAAGCCTCCAGTGTTGTCCTGCGGATACTTCTTTCCCCCAATGCTCTCTCTGCACAGAGAGGCAAGCTCTGGGTCAACTAAAGTTTTTGGTAAAAAATAATAATAATAAAGGTCACAATTAATAGTACCTCCTGGGTCAACTACAGTTTTTTGTGGATGAGTCTTGCCAGAATGTGCTTGTGAGTGTTGAGCCACATGTAAATTGATATACCATTGTTCCCAATATAGGCGTTCAGTTTTGTTAGTGAACCAAGAGGCCTGCTTATTTTTCACCTCATAAAAGGACAAACATATCTGTAATAAAAATAGAGAAACGATTGTTCAAACTAGTAGGAACAAGAGCAAGAAATAACCAGTATAATGTTCAAAAACATTTACATGAAAATTTACTGCAAATTCAACAGCAATTTAAAACCTGGCTTTTCTTGTTCGGGTGTTTCTCCACCCACATAATGAACTGCTCAATCTTCTCGTCTATCTTTTTCTCAAGCTCAACGTCTCCACATTGCACCTACAAAGAAATAAATAGAATAGCAGAAGCCACAAAAAAACAAAGGAAGAAACCTACAGTGAGATGGAGGAATCTGAGATTGATTTACATTTAAATACATATTAAGTCAAACCTCATTGAATTTAATGAAGGGGAAAGAATAAACAAAATCAAATCTATGAGATAAAAGGTATTTGTATTTAAAAGATAGACATTCAATTTGGGTTGGAGAAGAGCACAGAGAAAAATGAAGGACAATTGGCATTACACAGATTCAGACGAGACTGACATTTTATCAAGTTTTGTACTATGTAATCTCACTATTCATTACAGCGCAGAAAGAAAGATACATAGGATATGGAAACGCAACAATAATGTGAAATGAAAGAAGGAACTTTGAAAATATTTTTGCTGGTGCTTCTCACTGAAAAAAAAAGAACAAAAACTAGAACAATTACAATAAATGGGTTGGCTATTACTCAATATTCCAAATCTCAAATCATATCTATGTGTGAAATGGAGAAATAGGCAGATCATCTGTTTTGTGGTTCCATTTTTCTACGAGTTTATGGTTTGTATCATACATTCAGCTTGGAGATCGCCTGTCTCAGGAGCCGATTGATTTCTTTATTTCCCCCTAAAAAGAAATCCAAGATCTTATGTCTCAGTGATATTAAAGCTATTCTGTAGGAGATTTAGTTAGAAATAAAGGGAAGAATCTTCCATGAGATAGAAAATGTTTGAGATGTAATTGTTTTTGTCTCTTCCTCTTGGATTTCTCGCCATAATGAAAGTCCTTTTTTTTTTTAACTTTTATTCAATCTGTGCCAGTGGGAGATGGTTTATATAACTACTTTAGCTTATTCTTTTTGGTTCCTCGCCTCAATAAAATTTTATTTCTTAAAGAAAATAATATATTGCACGAAAATGTTTCGTGATGTTCAATTTCATGTTTGAACTATTGAAAACTATATTTCTTCCGGGCCATTTGGATATCAGGAGAGAGAGAGAGACTAATGAAGTGGATCGAACACTATTTCAACAACATAAGCGTGTGGTTGAGTCTTTTATACAGATCAGATCTCGATCCAATAGTGAGGAAGACCACCCAAAGGTGACGGTTCTTGCTCCAAGACTAAGATGCATTTGAAAGAAAATGCAAAGAAAGAGTTATGTCAGGTTTGATACCTTTTTCTAAATATTCGTTTCTTTCCCAGCCTATTTCAGACCGTATTGGTATATTCACAACAAAGAATTGAGTGGTTTCATCCCTGAGCTCTTGCTCCATTTATAATCCTTTAAGCTTTATTGTCGAAAATCCTAGGTTATTCTATTAGGTAATGTTTTGAATCATTGTTATAATCTCTGTGCACCCTTCCAGCAAGAAAAAGGAATTATGTTTTGACCTAATTAATTAACAAGCCAAAATATTATTACGATTAAAGCAGCAAGCAAGTTCTGGTGGCATGAGAGTAAATATAAGACATGGTGTGGACACCTTGACCCTGGGAAGAGGATGCAAAAATGCAATTACATCTAGAATACATTAATATAAAAAACACACATTGAACTGAATTTTCGTATTTTACTACCCACCAGAAACTGAGATTAAAAACTTGAATATTGACAATGCTTCCAAATAGATGAACTAATCAATTGATGGTTAGAGACTTACATAAGTAATATCAAAGAGCTCCAAATCAATGTCTTTGGGCCGCACAAGACCTAAAGCTCGATGAAATACAATTGTGTGTAGTATGCCTGAAGTAGTGTCAAACAAACATTATCATATTTCATATATAAACAAAAAGAATAGGTTGTCAGACGAAATGAAATAAAAGATCTCTCTAGCTCAACAGTAAATACAGTTAAATGCATGCAACAAAGTTATGCTATGGGACAAACAAATCATATAACCCAAAAAGAATAGGCAAGCCACACATCCACAGAGTATCCAAGACATAATTACCTGCCAATCCTGGAGAAGAAAAGGCAATAGTTCTCTACTAAACTTTTACTTAAACATGTGGAGCAAATAGAATCTTTCCTAAATACTCTTGAGAAAACCCCATTTCCTAACCCATATAGGTTCAGTCGGGTAAGGGTATAAATATGTAATTATACTGTTATAAGAGTTTGTTAGTTGGTTGAGTTTTAGATCTTGCTGCTGATGGTCTGCTGACTGATCAACCCCATTGCATCCCAGTCTGTATTAATATTCTCAACTGTAATAGAATTAGAGGTTTTTCTCTCACTCTCTGCTACTGTATTTTTATACTATTTTCCTACACACTGGCATGGCATCAAAGCGACTACAAAAATGTCATTGGTCAAATCCTATATTGGAGACATCTAGCTTAATAACACAATGGATAAAACTTGACAAGCATCAGGCACTACAGAGAGAAAAAAAAAATATCCTTTTTCCTCCAAGGAACAGGCTCAAAATGGAGCATATTGAACTTGATTATGTTGAGAGAAGGCTTTCCAAAAACTTCAAGATCTTCAGCCTGTACCCTCTCGTAATCGAAGTACTAATATTTTTATCTCAACTATGTCAGTTTTCGGTGAGCATATTTTGTACTTTAAGCAGGAATATGATCAACTGAGCAAGTGAAGCATATTTTCTAACTTCACAAAAAGCATAATAATTGAAAATGTACAGTAAAGCTTTCGGGACATAACATGAAGGTATATAATTACTTGATTTGTCCCGAAACTATTGCATTCATTTCAATAGTCTAAACTGAACTTGATCAGATCACACATAACAGAGATGATAGCCATGCAGATGCAGAACAATTATTATTCTCTACCAGCAACAACTTCATAATGATAGATCATAAAGATTTTCCAATTACGACATCTGTAAAATTTATAATTTGTTCAGCCGAAAGGCCAAGTATGGAGAGGACAGTTCCACAAGTATAATCCAAAAGGCATAGAACTGTAGCTTACAGCGCAGAACTTCGCGTATCTCGAACTGCTCAACTTCCTACATAGAAAAAGTCAGTATTCAAATCTAGTAACACGTCGCCTATGATCAAACTGACACACTTAGAATTCTCACACAAAATTACGCGAGGAGAAAAGAAGAAAATACCAGTTCTTTGAGTTGGCAGACTTCACAATTCATGGCACTTGGATATGGAGGGATTCCTAAAATCGCAGTCTGATCGCAGAATGAAAACCCTAGTTTTCCGAATTACAAAGTCATCGTTTCTGGGCAGAATTCAAGGCGAAGGTTCTCTAACCATACTGTTCTCTTCTAAGTTTCATTTACTTTCCCAATTGTTTCTCTTTTGAAATTCTCGTTTTTTTTTTCGATTCAGAGGAATTGATAAAATTAACCTTCTTGTTGATGCCATCTATATAACTAAAATTACATTTTAGCCCTTGAAATTGGTCTAATTAGTAATAGTGTAATTATATTTGATAAAAAAATATATATAAGTGAATAATTATCTCTAAAAGATATATATATATATATATATATATATATATATATATATATATATATATATATATATATAAAAGATAATAGAGAGTTTAAAAACATTAATTTACAGGTCAATTTATATTACATAATTTAACTAGTTAAAATATATATTTTATCTCAAGTATAAATATTCACCACTTTCACATATTTGAACTAAAAATGTGAATTTATAATAGTTTAATTAGTTGATTTTTATGTCAAAATAGTCAATGATACCATATATTTTATAATTTAAATTTTATTTATTAATTTTTTAATAAAGCATAATGTATTATTATTTTCTTAATAAAAGAATTGTGAGGTGTAGGATTTCAACATTCACTTGTATAAAAAAAAAAAAAAATGAGTCGTTCAAGTTCGGAAATTCGACATTCATCATTTCCAAAATTTATCTTGGTAGGAAATACGTGCGAAGTTAAGTTGCTGACTTGATGATGACATGTCTTTCCATCAAATTCGACCTTCATCGGGAAGTATTTGGTATATTTGGTCCAATATATAAAAATCGTCCAAAAGTATTTATCTTTAAAAAAAGAACGAGGAAAATATTGGTTCGGATTGTAATTCAAGCCCAGTGGACCTTTGAAGAGGTCCCTGCGAAACGGTAAGTTGTTATATATTTTAAAGACGACTAACATATTTATTGGTAAATATTTACACAATCGTCCACTTACATTAAATGTTTTTAAATCTACATTTTATATGTTTTGACAAAAATTTACTAAATAAAGTTAATGTTTAAATTTCCATTTTTATTTAGTTGAATAATTGTGAGACGAGGATGGAATCATTTACCTTTAAAATAGTAGTAGATGTTTTACCTATCCGAGTAGGTTGAGATTAGTCATTTAATATTAGATTTAAACCTATACTTTTATTTATAATTCAAAATGAGAGAATCTACCTGTAGAATAAAATCTTTTTGAATGTCATAATTTAAGTCTTCTTTAATAATCATTTAAATGACATTTAAAATTATGCTTATTTTTTCTCACAATTTTTTTAGCACAAAATTTAGTCCTTGAAAATTATGCTTACTTGCTACGTTTTCATATTTTTTAAAACCACGTTTGAATTCTCAATCAAATATAAAAGAAAAAAAAACTACTTTTTGAAAACAACATGCAAAAAAGAAAAAAGAAAAAAAAAAGACATGCATAGATAAAAATAGTGTGTACAAAGATTAATTTTCAAGAATATAAAATCACAAAGATTAATCTTCAAGAATATAAAATCAAAAATAAAATGTTTATCTAGTTTGAGTCATTATTTGTAAAGTGTTTTATTTAATTTAACAAAGGTGAGGTGTCACTTAGGATATCGTACCTTCAATCGTCTTATTGAAATTAAGTAGTAATGTCTTATCTACTAAACTTCTTGGATTGACTATTAAATATTTTTTTTAGTATAATAATTCGAAGATGAGAGATTGAACCTTCAACTTTAAGATAGTAGGTATTTTTATCCATTAAACTATATTCGAATTGGCTATTACATTAAGATGAGAAGGAAATTTTTATATTATCATTTGTATTTTATTAATTAGTTGATAGATATAATCTTTTTGGTACATATATTTTGTTAGGTCTTTCACACAGTTGAAATTTAATCTTTGACGCAGAGTTGTTTGGAATGATATATCTTAAATTACCTAAATCTAATATAGGGATATTAGTAATTTTATATGATAAAAAATTTAATTATTTCAAGTTGCTTAAAAAGCATGTCAGACAAATGTATAATTGAAGATCTCATATATATATTGTCGAGAGTTTGAAGAGTCTACAGCCTACGATCCCATAGCTAGATACTCGATTTGTTCCACTAAAATTGATAAAAGACGACGCAAGAATAAGAAAAAAAAAAGACACAGATATGTTAGGAGAAAATATGTCTCACCTTTTGCAAATACTAAGTAATTCTTTTCCTGATCATTATTTTCTCTCAAACTAATCTTCAACCTCTAAAACATTAGAAGTCAAAAATACTTGCGCCAAAATTCAATGCCTGAACAAATTGTTTCATTCCAGTGTTTTGCCTAATATCATAATTCCTACTCATGAATAGAATATCGATGGCGCTAATCCTAACGTCTGATGCCCATTCGATATCGTAATAATAATGATATGTCCACATTCAATCAATGAGAGTCGCTCATGAAATTTGATTAGATTTCAGGTAAGTATGTCCTAATAATTAATGTCAAACTCAAACTTAACAACTTGATACAAAGTATTGTCGTGACCAAACATGTGGAGACTGCGAGTCAACATCAATAAACTAATGGGCTCTTGGACGGTCGTGAGTGCATTTGTTGGTAAGTGGATGCAATGGGAGCCGAAGGATGAGAGGAGAGGACAGATAGGGTGTAGCTCCCACAAATACATTACGAGTCCACACCTATGAGAATCTGTCTGGGTCATCTCTCAAGTGGTGCATATAGGCATAGGGTATATTATGCACAGTACATGTATGATAATATAAACTGTAGATCCCTCCTTTTCCCTATGTTTTCTTTTCAAAGTATGGGCAGTGTCTGAGAGTGTGGGTTCTGAAGTTGGCGTGTGCCACGGCTTCTGTAGGGCTGTGTGGTGTGTGGGGGTGATGGAGTTTTAGGGCTGTTTCGCTATGGGGGCCCTGCACCCATGTACGCTGGTTTTAATTGGGTCGTGGAGCCGTCAGCCCGTCTGGTGTTGTGTAGCTGATCAGAAACAAAACAGAATAACAATAATACAGCATCATTATTGCAATATTATTACACATCCCTTATAATTATCTCCAAATCCAAATCCAAGTTAACGTAATTAATTGCTTACTTTCTCTAAAACAAATTGTATCAATATATATGAGTCAGACGTTTGGAAAAAACTTGACTCCTTTTAAAGTCAAAGAGGAACTTTCTCTTGTATTTCTCTCGTTATCAAATATTTAAGAGTGTTACTTAACTTTAAGGAGCCAAGTTTTTTCCCAACAATATATCAAAGTCATAATTAGGAATTAATTAATTAAAAAGTTATTTATTTAATTATTTTTTAATACAACATGTGTGGATGGAGGTTCGAACTTACAACCTTTTGATTAGAAATATATACCAATTACCAAACTGAACTATACTCACTTTAGCAATTAATTAAAAAGTTATCTTGATAAGAATAAACTACTTTGTATATTATATTCCTAAACCATCATCTATGAACAGTTATAACAATTATATATGATATGCCAAAGCGAGCATAACTCAATGTTAATTTAGCATATGTCTCCAACCAAGAGGTTGTTAGTTTGATCCCCACCCCCACATGTATTAAAAAAATTATATATCATATATCTATAAATGTTCTAGAATTTATGTCAAAGTAAGGATAACTCAATGGTAATTGATATATATTTCCAACCAAGAAGTTGTAAATTCGATCTGACACCCCATATATTGTACTAAAAAAACGTTCTAAAATTTCTAAGATTGCGAGAAAAACATTTTATATATCCAATAAAAATAAATCTAATTTAGATGAGAAGATGGACAAAAGGTTGAAAAACACTAAAATTTAGATAAAAAGGAAATAAAATCTCATGACTTTAGATAAGGTTTAAAATGAACTTTTTTAATCATTTGATCTTCATATATATATATGTATAGCTTAGTGGTAAAAGTATCTACATCCCTTTTTTAGAGGTGGAAGGTTTAAGTCTTCCCATCTGTACTCATATATATAAAGTCAAGACATTACTTATCTTCCTAAAAGTTAAAATGATCGTATATAAATTCATATCTTTATCTTTACTATTAATTATATATAACATATTTAATAAAAAATTTATGCAACCTATGTGCATATACATATTGTTAAACTTATATGTTGAGTCTCATATACATATATATATTAAGTTTGATATATTGGATTTGGACTTGGAAGAATCAAAATATATATATATATATACATGGAAGTATAATAACTAGAACTAAAATAGATTTTGTATGCTAAAATAATATTACAAAACATGATTCAAATTGCAATCTGAAAAACAAGAGACTGAAACAAGATTAATTTAGAGGTATAATTAAAAAAATAATTAGACAACAAAAGAATAAATTAGCTTAAGAAAGAAGAAGGCGAGCACATGGTGGTGATGAATGAATGTATATATGGAAGTTGGAATGTCAATATCCAAAAATAACAAACATTAAAGAAAAAAAAGTGGGCAATATAGCTTGAGTGTGAAACAAACATAGTAATGATTACATTGAAAATAAAGTAATTTAATTCACTTAGGTTTGAAAAAATAGAAATTATAAAATGAATATAAATATAATATATAATATATATTTTTTAAAAGAAAAAAGGGTGACACGTGGGCCCAGGTGAATGCCTAATGGATTTTCTTTGTACAGTGAGTTTTAATAAGACAATGTGAAGGTGGGGACTGGGCTTGGATTCCTTTTGTTGTTGATATGATTGGGTGCCTGCCTCTATGCCCTATTTTCTTCCTTTTTCTTTACAAAAAAAAAAAAATTAATAAATAATAATAATAATAATAATAATAAAATAAATTCTTCTTTACGTTTTCAATGCCAATATTTGACTCCTCATTGCGGGATAATGTTTTCTTTTCATTATTATGTCATAAATTATATTTATGTCTCTCACTCCTTTCAATGTCCAATTCATTACGTACACATGAGGGGAAAAAAAGTTCTTTACGTACACACAAAATAAAGAAGAAAAAAATTGTTCAAGTGTGTGGTTCTCATCGGTGATTTTGGAATATAACGTAACAAACGTTACAATTATTTATTTGTTACGGGGTAATGTAACGTGTTCTCAAAAAAAAAA